AAATACAGGAAGACACACCTGCCTAGGGAATTAGTAGCAAGCTTTCTAGGATAGGAGGAAAGAGATTCTAAAAAAGGAAGCATGGAAAAATGGAATGTAGAATTTAAAAAAAAACATACAGAATGGAAAGATCTACAAAGCAAAGCCCCTATTCCTTCTCCCCAGCTCCCTACCCCAGGACTAAACCCAAACCACAAATCAGGGCAGGGACTTAGTGAGAATAGGAGATGCCTAAGTTGCAAAATTTAAGCAGGCATCCCCTCTGGGTACTGCAAGCCTGAATGGGAGCTCCTCCTCAAAGTCCGTACCCCAGGTGCCTTGCTAGCCTCATCTACCCAGTCCTGCTACAAAAACAGAGATGTGGTAATAGAAATATCCTAAGTCTAAAGGAAGAATCACACGCCATAGGTTTAGTGTCCTTTCTCAGGCAGATGCGGGGAAACCTGTGAGCTCTTAGGGTAGCACCAAATTCAGGGCACAATGTGGGAGAGAGAAGGCAGTGCCTGCACAGAAGTTTCCGAATGAACTGCCAGGGGGATGAGGAGATGCAGAGAGAATGAAGAATGAACAGAGGCCTGGGGATGGAAAAGAAGACTGTCAAGGGAAAGAGAGAAGACAGGAGGTGATGGGGGGTCTTTAATCGGTAGTAAGTGGGCCTAGGTTACTATTAACATATTGAGTGAGGATACATCTAGTGTACAGACACCAGTGCAAGCAAGCCCCTCAAGAAGCTATCATGAACTAAAAGACAACCCAGGGGCCTATGTGTACAGGTCTGAGACCCAGTCTTCACCAACTACAGGTTGTATAAATGCCGTACGCTAAGGTGCCTTGGGGAGAGGGGCAATAAATCAAAGAGTCTGCCCTGGAGGATATTGCGTTTCTTTTTATTGACAAATTTTGTTTTGTGTTGTTTACTTTTCCCTTGAAAAGTACAGGATGTTATATCATAAGCAATAATAAAAGTTACTCAAAACAAAAAACCCTACATTTCTCTTTATAATGTACTTTGCCTATTTTTGGAGGGTTTATTGTCTTCCAATTACTGAGTTTTGAGAGTTCTGTATATATTTGCACACCAGTTCTTTATTAGTTATGTGATTTTAAAATATTTTCTTCTGCTATATAGCATCTTTTCACTCACTTGAAAGTGTCTTTTGAAGGCCAGAAGTAGCTAAGAAATGCTTGCTTAGCTATCTGAGAAGGCTTCTAAGAAGTATCTATGAAATACCTAAGAAATCTCTGCCTAACCCAAGGTCACAAAGAGTTTTATCCTGTGTTTTCTTTGAGAATTTTTATAGCAGGGAGAGGAGTGACCTCTGAAAACTCAAGGTGCTGAAAATTTTTAAAAGAATTTCTTTTGTAGCCAGTCTGTTACTGCCATGAAATATATTTCAAGGTTTTAGCCTCCCAGTTGGTGCTCTTTGGAATGAAAACAAATTGAAGCATTTGCCCAAGGAAAACAAAATTGACATGTTCAAATAATTTTAAAATTTCTTCTAAAGATTAGAATATATTAATTCAGTTATTATCTTGGACTCTGACTTCGGTACCAATGGATAACTGGAAGTTGAATATACATACTTCAGTAATGGAACTATCACTGAATGTTTTGTTTTGGTTAAAATTTTGGAAAACTCCAGAAAACTCATACTGGATTTAATTCATTCATCCAATATGTTTATGGATACCTACTATGCCAAGCACTGTACGAGGGGCTTTTATCCATTTTCATCTATAGATTTTCTTATTTGATCTTTCTAATAACTATGTGCTTTGGGCAAAAGAAACTTCATTTTTAAAGGTTAAAATTTGTCAAATTCTCACTGCTAGTGAGAGAGAAGCTTCTGAGAATCTATAATCTAGTTTAATAGTCAAGTACCTTGACAACAACAATACCCTAAGATAAATGTCATGATAGACATACGTTAGCCTCTGTGGCTCCCAGAGGGAACCTCTGGGAAGGCTTTTAAAGAATAGAATTTTGACAGGTAAATACTGGGCTTTGATAAGGGGAGGAGGTAGAATAGAAAAATTAGAGGGGAAATTTTTCACAGAGGCACATTGGCCAGAGCATGCCTGGTGTGGTCATGGAACAGCAAGTTGCTGTGATTTTTGGTAAGGGGATAGGATGGTAGGAGATGTCAACATGTGACAGGTTTGGGGGCAAGAAGAGATACACTGTAGCAGGCAACAGGGAGTCAGCAAAGGATTTAGACCAGGAGAATGGCTACATCAGAACTGTGTTTCAAGAAATATTTTTGTCATCCTTAACTAATCGATGGCAGTCTGTGTAGAAGGAGGAAAGAGATAGGAGGCAGGGAGGCTGGGGGAGGCCATCTTGGTAATGCTGGCAGGATGTGGGCAGGACTGGGAACTGACCAGGGGAAAGGGAGAATTTCACTTTTCATCCAAAATGTTCTCTCCTAAGCTCTTTTTGTACTCTATCCTTGGGAAATAATGTAGAATCAGCTAACTGCTTGATTTGAAAGGATTTTTAAAAATTTTTTTGATTGATTGGCTTGTTCTTTATTTGACAACTAAAAAGGGCCTCTTTTTGTGCAGCAGAAAGATATAACCCAAGACGCTCCAGGAAAGTCAACTGAGTTATGGTGTAAAGAAAGGATGTGAGGGATGAGGGAGGCCAATTACTCCTCACTCAGGTACTGGAAAATAAAGAATGGACACAGAACACTACTGATCAGTAGGAGATCTGGAAAGGATGAGATCAATTGAATTTGATTGGATGGGGGTGCTTAATGATGACTCCCCAATTTTAAAAGCAAGTGGCTAGAAAAATGGTGGTCTTTCTGTGGGAAATAACACAATGATTTAGGAAGAGAGATAATGTACTTATTTTAAATAGGCTGAATTGGAAGACATTCCTATTCAAAAGATAGTCCAAATGATAGGACTTTCATGAGGAAATATCCAAAAGCTATTCATAGGCCAGAGATAGTGTTCATAAAAGAAGAAAGGGCTGAAAATAATAGTCAAAAGTTGTCCACATGGAGATAAAGCCATGTGTGGTTGTCTGTGCTGAGGGATAACATGGTGACAAATAGATGGTGACTAAGGGCAGACTTTTGAGGAAATTCAGCAGAAGAAGACCCATCCAGAGAGACAGAAAGGACATAAGGCAAGAGACGCAGAATATGTAGAACTTCAGGGGTAAATAGAAGACAGGCAGAATTGGTAAAATACAGCAGACCTGTCAGTGAGCATGTGGATGCAGGGGCTGTGTTTGGTGATAAAGGATCAATTTTTCTGGGCAGGCTTTCCACCTTCTCCCTCCTGCCCCACTCCAGGCCATCTGGGTCTTTACTTTCTCTCTTGTTGCCTAACCTGAGCAGAGACAGCACTGATAATGGGTTAGCCAGCAGTTTACTCTTTGCATCAAATGTTCTCTAAAAGGAAGGACTGTGGGGCCTCATCCCGCAAGGTGATACAGGATGGGAATTCGGGGAAAAATAAACATAATCCCTGATGGAGCAGTGTCAGGGGAGTCAAACTGTAAGGTATTATGGAACAGGAAGATGGTAGGAAATGAAAGAAGCACCTGATTAGAGAAGGCAGGCAGGGAGTTATGAGAAGATTCCATTGAGAGAGAAACAGAAAGAATAAAATGTTTAATTATATGGTAAGAGAGAGTTGTCTATGTCCCTAAACTGCAGTGAAAGCCAATGGAAAGGAGGGGATGACGATGCAGGAAGAGGCGATGGTTAACTACTGATGGAGTGATTCTGAGAAGGGACTGGTAAACACAAGGGTGGGGTTAACCTCTGACTGACGGCAGGGTATGAGAGAAGGTGCAGAGAAATGTAGAGGTGAGAGGTAGGCATAGTGAATGGAATGGACTGTGAAAAAAGGAAGCCATGGCTTAATGGGAAACAAACAAGAAATCCCCCCAACCTGGAAGTTCTGATACTGCCATTTTATCAGTTGTGTGACCTGTGGTAAGTGACTTAACATTTTTTAAATGCCTCCACTTCCCTTTTGGTAAAAATGGGAGCACTAACTTCCAACTCCAAAACCAGGCGCCATTGTCCCACTTACTTGCAAGTGCCCTCTTAGATGTTTCTCTGTTTTTGTTTTAACGTTTCCTTTTCTGGGTAGAGGAGCCGGAAGATGGGCTGGATCTTATTAGCAAAGCAGGAGGTTGGGTCATCTGAGTACGGAGACAGTGATGCCATAAGCCTGAGAGATCACGAAGAGGTTTTAGCAGTGCTGGGCATAAGTTAGAGAAATTAACACAACGTGAATAAAGATTTGCAGGCACCAGTGAGGACCCAAGGGAGATTAGAGGGCAGGGAGGCCTGATAGAAGAGGAATCAGGCCCCTAGCTGAAGAAGTTTTGGGGAGGTGTGCTACAAACTTCGTTTTATTTTATTTATTTCTGAGACAGGGTCTCGCTCTGTCACCCAGGCTGGAGTGTAGTCGCCTGATCTTGGCTCATTGCATCCTCGACCTCCCAGGCTCAAGCGATCCTCCCACCTCAGCCTCCGGAGTAGCTGGGACCACAGGCCCGCATCACCATGCCCGAATAATTTTTGTATATTTAGTAGAGACGCGTTTTCGCTATGTTGTCCAGGCTGGTCTCGAACTCCTGGGCTCAAGCGATCCTCCCGCCTCGGCCTCCCAAAGTGCTGGGATTACAGGCATTAGCCACCGCGCCCGGAACAAGCTTCGTGTCTGAACCTGGCTCACATCTCGGGAGGCTTGGGGATGGGCTTCAGCGAGTTCGGAGGCCCCGGAAATCGCCCAGATGCATTAATTTCCACAAGACTTGCAAAGGGTTCTCAACACAGCGGTTAGGAACCAGTAATCAGAGCTTGGTAAGCTCTCCGGGAACGCGAGCCGCCTCCCAGCCTTTCGCCCTGACGCGCTCTAGCAGTGCTGCAGAAACTTCAGGAACTTCGTTTTCATCTCTTCCCCGACGCACGACCTCGGGCTTTTTCTTTTTGTAAACTGCTGAGTGTGGAGAGGCCCCGCCCTTCCGCGCCCAGCCGCGGGGCCGCCCCTGCCTCCTCCCGGTGCTCCTTCCCGGACGGCGCTGGAAGCCCTGGCGGCGGCGGCCCATGGGGCCCTTGGCGCTGCCCGCCTGGCTGCAGCCCAGGTAGGGCGCTCGGCCGAATCCCGAGGGGAGGGGGCCCGGGTGGAAGGTCTGGGGGCAGGAGCTCCCCTCTGCGGCGGGCGGGCGGGCGGCACCGACCAGGAAGGCACAGCGCTACCGTGCCCAGGCACCCCTTGGAGCTCGTGCAGGTATTTGCTTACTTACCCCTCTTGACCACCCTAGGAAGCAGGCTCTGTTATTTTCTCCATTTTACAGATGAAGAAATGGGAAGGACCGGCTGCATGGCTACCCCTGCCCTTGTGAGCCCTCTGCCAGTACTTCCCTCCCCCACCAGGGGCCCTTCTCTTGACTTTCTCAGATGCAGAGTTGCGGGTGATTTTTAGATCTAACAGCCCTGGAAACACCTATCACACGTATGGATTTCAGGGCCCTGTTGTGGAGGGGAACAGATTCAGTCATATAGCGGTAGGGCCTGGGGGGTGTATATGTTTAACGCACAAACCAGGTGATCCTGATACAAGCTGAAGGAGCATGTCCTCTTCCCAAACTCTTTAGCAGTTCCTGCCTTATGGGGGGTGTCCCCAGATAAAATCATTCTGTCTCCCAGCTTATTTTCCTTGTTTCTCGGAGGTTTTGCATCTCCAAGGAGGAGTAAATCTTGACAACACTGGCAGGGCCACTCCCGTCACTCTTCTGAACACCCAGGGAACATTTCAAACAGTGCTTTTTCCTAACTCCCTCAAACCATGTATCTGTCAATCTTCTCTTAGTCATCTCCCCAGCAACTCACAACACATTATTAAACCCAGCTTGACTTCCCTTTTCTGGTATGAGCAACTAAATTGCTTTCTATGTGTATCTGATGAAGGAAACTATCTACCCTTGCAAAATATTAATAGGCAGTGGCAAGATGTTAATACTAACCCCAATCACATAATGTGTTCAAAAGTCAGGTGTGTCCAGTTACTGAATTATCAAACATTTGGATCGCTCCCATCCCTACCCCCCTTCAGAACTAAAACACTTGTGTCTCAAGTTTCGCACTTAGCAAGCTGAGCTACTGGAACACATAGTGACACGTCAACCCCTCTGCACACATGGATTTTTTGTTGTTGTTTTATTTTTTATTTATTTTTGAGACAGAGTCTTGATCTGTCGCCCAGGCTGGAGTGCAGTGGCACTATCTTGGCTCACTGCAGCCTCTGCCTCCCAGGTTCAAGTGATTGTCTTGCCTCAGCCTCCTGAGTAGCTAGGTAGCTGGGATTACAGGCATATGCCACCACATCCGGCTTTTTAATTTTTTTATTTTTGTAGATATGAGTTTTTGCCACGTTGGCCAGGCTGGTCTTGAACTTCTGGCCTCAAGTGATCCAACCCGCCTTGGCCTGCCAAAGTGTTGGGATTATATGCGTGATCCACTTCTCCAAGTTTGTTTTTTTTTTTTTTTTTTTTTTTTTAAAGAATATTCAAAGCCGCCTTCGCAGTGGTTTCTTTTATTCCTTGGTGAGCAGCAAGGTTAGAACTTTATCAAAGATGAAAGCAGATTTTGAAAAAGCACTATATTTGGTTTTAAGCAAACTCACTCTACAGATGGTCCATGACTCACATTTTTTTAAACTTTGTGATGGTGTGAAAATGATATGTATTCATTAGAAACCGTACTTCAAATTTTGATTTTTAATCTTTCCCCAGTCTAGCGATGTGCAGGTATGATACTCTTTCATGATGCTGGGCCGCAGCATGGGGCCACAGCTCCCAGTTGGCCGCAGCTCCCAGTTGGCCGCATGATCAGGAAGGTAAACAAGCAGTACTCCACAGTGCACTGTGTTGCCAGATGATTCCGCCCAATTGTAAACTAATGTAGGTGTTCTGAGCAAGTTTAAGGTACACTAGGCTAAGCTGTGATGTTCTGTAAGTCAGCTGTATTACATGCATTTTCAACTTATGATATTTTCAGTTTACGATATTTTCGGCTGATGGGGTGTATCAGGACGTAACTTCATCGGAAGTGAAGAAGCATCTGTACTTACTTTAGCAGGTAGTGTAGGCTATGGCTCCCTTCAAAATCTGATATGTACTTGGGGGTAACCAGATAAAAGACTGATATGAAACAGTTTTCTTTTGCTCTCTCAGGTTGGCCAGTACATTAAAGGACATGTGTACAGTATGAAAGGATGATTATAAAAGAAGTGTTTAATGGTATTTTCCTGTATTTCTAGGTATAGGAAGAATGCCTATCTTTTCATCTATTACTTAATCCAGTTCTGTGGCCACTCTTGGATATTTACAAATATGACAGTCAGATTCTTTTCATTTGGAAAAGGTAAAACTCCAAAACAGTTTTTTTATTTTTAACTTTTAATCTTTGTTTTCGCCTTATCCTGCTTAAATTTCTATACATCTCAACCTAATATCCTTCTCTAAAATTTGTATTTTTCAGCAACCATGTTTATTGCAAAACCTTCTTGGAGAAGGGGAAGGTGGGATAAGTAAGGGAAAGGGATTTGGCTTCCCTCTGAGTAGGCAGTTTGCCTGAAAACAGAGATGGATGGCACTGGGGTGGCATCATTTCATTGTTCCTTTTCCATTCTGCACCAAACCTTAGCAGATTTCTTGTGTTTTGAGGAAATCTCAGCATAACATTTTATGCAGAGAAATCAGGAATGAATCAAATTCTTCCAGTGTTTGTATTATTCCCCAGGTTTGAGGTAACTGGAGACTACTAGTAAGTGAAATACAAATTTTATATTCCCCAGGCCTCTATTTGGTCCCTTGAAGAAGTAATATGTAAATGACACACTCTGTAGATGTGTACCACTTATATAGTAGTCAGCATTAATGGTTCAAGTCATAAACTTCCTCTAGTTTCCTGAAAAGTCAAGTCACTGTTGGGTGACTAAATGACTATCAAAATAACATTCTCTTCATGTTCCATCCGCACATGGGTAAGTGTCATCACAGTTTACAACTGTTGAGTGACTTGACAATCTAAGTAACTGCTGGCTTCAGCTAAAAACAAATGTTTAGAATGTAGCTGGGAAAAGTCATGCTGTGCTCATCATTTCAGACGTGTGTATCATAAGAAGTTATTCTACTTGCAAGGTCCCATAGCTATTTTATGTTACTTTTTCTTACTGAAAATCTACAGCTATATTCTCACCTTTGTTAAGGCCCTCCAAAGATATAACCTAAAGCTTGAGTTTCAACTACAAATGTTGAGAGTTTTCAAGCAGAGGAAAACACAGGTGATGGGAAAACTTCTTTTATATTTTTATTAAAACTTCTTTTATATTTTTATTAAAAAGCCATCACTTCTGGCCCTTTGAGGTTTGCTGAGGCGGTGTAGGCATATTACATGTCATTTGCCACACAAGCCATGGACTCTCTTATGCTGCCTTACCTTTCCAGTGAGAAAAGTTGCCTCAGCGAGTATTTCTTTTTCTTTTCTTTCTTTCTTTCTTTTTTTTTTTTTTTTTTGAGATGGCGTTTCCCTCTTGTCATCCAGGCTGGAGTGCAATGGTACGATGTCACCTCACTGCAACCTGTCTCCCAGGTTCAAGTAATTCTCCTGCTTCAGTTTTCTGAGTAGCTGGGATTACAGGTGCCCGCCACCATGCCCGGCTAATTTTTGTATTTTCAGTAGACACGGGGTTTCACCACGTTAGCCAAGCTGGTATTGAACTCCTGACCTCAGGTGATCCGCCCACCTCGGCCTCCCAGAGTGCTGGGATTATGGGTGTGAGCCACCGTGCCTGGCTCGGCGCATTTCTTTCTCAATTATTACCCTGCCATTATAATTGTAGAAGCTACTTATTATTAAAGAAACACAACTGATTCATTCAGGAGACGGACTGAAAACAACCAAGCGTGGATTCAGTACAATTTTTGAATCAATGTATAAATTACGTAAGTAGCTCAACAGAAACCTGAAACCCGGAACGTGTTGTACCTGCTACCTTCTTCCTTCACAGAGCTGTGTAATTCATAATGCTTTGGTACAGTGAATGCAGGGCAGTGGATAAGAGCATGGACTGTGTGCTTCAGGAACCACCTCTGAAATGGGGATGATGATAATAGTGTCCATCTCGTGGGGCTGCTGAGAAGAGAAATCCTTAGTGCTCAATAAATTATCATTGTGTGAATTACCACTGGGCAGTAAAGAGAGCAAAATCTTCCCTACAAGTTTCTAAACATGGCAGGATTTCATTTTAAAACTTAAAGCAACACATTTATCCTATGTAGAGGAACATTTGTTTCCCTTCCATTTCAGCTCCCTCTAAGTGCACAGCATTTCATTTGAACCCTCTGCAATGCAGACCCCAAAAGTCCTGATCGGAGGCCCAAGTTCCAGTGTTTAACAAAATCCAGAAAAGCACTAACCAAATATGTATAGAAACAAAATCCTAGATACATATGTTATTTGATATCATGGCATTATTAGTGTCATTTCCATAAAGTTTCTGTGAAATCATATTTTTTCTCATTTTTGTCATTTCCTTGTCAGTGGAGGAACTGTGAGCACAGTGTCTTTAACAAGTTTGCTTCTATCTACACTTGAGGTGGTCTAGATTCTAGGAGGTTACTCTTATGTGGGAATTGCTTTATAATCTTAGAAGTGGGGAATAAATGCTACATGTACGTTTGCCCATGAAATCTTTCTCAAGTTTCTACTTCTTTTGTAACAGAAGCAATTAAAATACACTACAGTATGGGGTGCTTTTTTTGTTTGCATTGTATTCTTAATAATTTAGTAGCTACTTAAGGAATTTTTCACATATACAATGAAAAAGGAAGTGAATACTCTCCATTTGATTTCAAAGTGCTGCATAAATTTGGGTTATAATCCAGTTTTTACTTACTATATCTGCATTTTTAACCCATGGGACACAGATTCAATGGTTGACACTTTTTATGCTATTGGACTTGTGATGCGACTTTGCCAGTCCGTTTCTCTCCTGGAATTGCTGCACATATATGTTGGCATTGAGTCAAACCATCTTCTCCCAAGGTTTTTGCAGGTAGGTTTGAATCACATTATTATTATAGAATCTGTTTCATATTTACATTTTTTCTATGTACAGCTTCTCCTGACTTTTTGGCAGGCAGAAAGCCAACCCTTGTCTTAGGTCACCGATAAGGAGAATTACTTTCATGGAAGGACAACCTTATTCTAAAACTGCACAATTAGAACAACCAGTTGGAAACATTCAGGGCAGTGATGCTTGCTGATCTTGCAGCACTGCATTGGTCCTATCCTGGAAGGAGATTTCATAGCCACTTGCTACTCTCACCATATCACTGCCTGGGGTAGTAGAAGACAATGATAAGGCATAGGATTGGAGACTTGGGTTTGAGGCCTGGCTTTTCTGCTTACCACTATGGGATCATACCACCCACAACCATTGGGCTGTTGAGGGAAAGGACACCACAAATAATACCTGGCACACAGTAGATGATTAAAAAACAAAAAGCTTCCTTCATCTACATCCAGAGAATAGAGTACTCCTAGGCCATTCTTGCTCATTCCCTCTTTTTTACTAAACATCAATGGAAAGGGGAGATCATTTGTATTTATCTAATACAGCATCTAAGCGTAGACTTGGGGAACACACAGACCTGGATTCAAATCCCAGTTCTACTTTGCACTAGCTGTATACCTTTAAACAAGTCATTTAATCATTCTGAACTTCATTTTCTCATGTGATATGAAAATAACATGTATCTTATGAAGTAACTGAGAAAATGGATAAGTTCCTGGCACTTAGTTAAGAATACAATACTTGGTAGCTATTACTACTATTTTCTTAACTATTCTTTGTTCCCTCTTCCATGCCTCTAGCCCTAGATTACCATGTTCTTTGTAAAGGCAGGTTGAAGGAAGATGGGAAATTTACTAGTAGTGACTCCATGTAGAAAATCATTGCTGGATAAAGGCAAAAAATAAAAAATAAAAATAAATATTTTCTGTAGATTTTATATAGTTCATATAGTTGTCCCTTTCTTATGGGACGGTAAAGGTCAGGCAACTATAAGAACATGAGTTTAAAGTCTACAGAAATAGGTATCTACATGAGTATAATTTTAGGTATCCTCAAAATAAATTTGAAAAATTGATCATTTTGACAATTTCACATTGTAAAACTAATTAAAATATGTCAGAATTTTATTGTGTTGCCAGCACCTAGCAAAGTGCTTAGAATGTAAATGTACACTTTAAATTTTTGTTAAATGAAAGAGTGGCATAGATCCTTTTATTAAAATTTGTCTAAAATATCATGAAAGCTTAAAAGATATAAATAGTATAATCCTAAGGAGGCTTTTAACAACTGAGCATTACAAGTTTATGGAATATTTTAAATTTTACTTATTAAATAAGTGTAGAGAAATAGTATCCATCAGGATAAAGACATTAAAAATGTTGAAATATCAAATGTAAAATAAAAATTAGGGTAATGGTGTATAAACTAATAACATAGTAGTCAGTTAACTAGCTAAGACCTAGATGGAATTCCCTTTAACATAGTTCCGTACAAAATCAACGGGGATACAGATCTGTCCCAACAGCAACATAGTATCTGGGAGCATGATGTATTGGTGTTTATTACTTATTTACAATGTGGTGTACTTCAAAACAACCAAAATACATATAGTACCAGCATCCCATAATGCTAATCTTGGAAAATAAAATTAACAACTAACATTAAATAAAAGTTGTATTCTATCATCTGGAATGATTTTGCTTGGAGTATGACTAAATTCATCTAAAATCTCAGTTATGTTTTCTATTGGTATTTTTTCAAAGGACTTTTTACCTTTTTAGGCTAAGTGGCTACTACTAGTTTCATGGTAAACATTTTCAAAATTAAGAGTAGTGTTATTTTAGTTATTGCCGGTGTAGAGAATGCACCTAAAGGGAATAGATAATTTTGTAAGGAAGAAAACTCACTGAGCAGCTTGAATGTGCCTAGAAAATGTGCACCTATGTACTTCACAAAATTAGACTTGTTTAGTAATAGAAATTATTATATAACTTAGAAAGCTGATTTCTTGGAATTCCAGGAATTCCAGAATATACACCTGATTTTAATCACTGCTAATTAAAACTTTAAGGGCTTATACAAATATAACTGTAACCAAAGAACCAAATCTTGGTTTGGCAATTCAAACATAGTGGCAAATATAAATTGACACCTTTTATTCAAAGGCGAGTTTGCAAAGTCTGATGTTAGCAGAGTGCAAATGATTTTTAAGTCTTCAGTTACTGGGAGAGATAAGTCAGAGATCACTGTGTTAGGGAAGAAAATTATTCTCATCCTGAGTATTATCAATTTTTGTTGTGGTTGTTTGGCTTCCTCTTTTTATCTCCTTTGAGATTTTATTTGGCTCCTATTTCTTTTATTAATAATTTATCATCCTTTTTGTGGTTCCCACAATGGAAATGGTGTTGGATAAAGGTTCAGAAACATGCCATTGTGCCCAAAGTTTCATTTTCTACCTCCTTCTTATATTAGAGTTATGCAGACAATTAGAATTCCTTCATTATGGGATGGCACTGAGGCCCCTGCTTTAAAATAATGAAACAAAACTCTCAGATTGTGTAATCATTCTTGGTTTTCCTGTTTCCCCATTTTTAAATGAAGAAACTGTAGTTAAGAGAGTGGCTGCTTTTAAGTAAGCCGAAAAACCATGTCTATACAGTTGTCATGTGATTTTGATATTACCGTCAAGAGATTGTTAAGTGGGCCGGGCGCAGTGGCTCAAGTCTGTAATCCCAGCACTTTGGGAGGCCGAGGCAGTTGGATCACGAGGTCAAGAGATTGAGATCATCCTGGCCGACATGGTGAAACCCCATCTCTACTAAAAATACAAAAAATATTAGCTGGACATGGTGGTGCGCGCCTGTAATCCCAGCTACTGGGGAGGCTGAGGCAGGAGAATCGCTTGAACCCTGGAGGCGGAAGTGGCATTGAGCCGAGATCGTGCCACTGCACTCCAGCCTGGGCTGCAGAGCAAGACTCCGTCTCAAAAAAAAAAAGAAAAAAAAAGATTGTTAAGTGACAACTGAATTCTTCTTGGGGGGAACTGGTCCTCCAAAATATCTAGAGAAATAATTCCAACCAACAGTAGGAACTGATTACCTAGTTGAGCAATTAGCATTACAGGTATTAAGTAGTGGTGGTGTGTCCACAGGGGATAGGTTTGTTTTTATACTGTGTTTCTGTTTCTTGTGCTTTTGTTTCCTGTGCATTTATTTATTTATTTATTTATTTATTTTTTATTATACCTTAAGTTCTAGGGTACATGTGCACAATGTGCAGTTTTGTTACATACGTATACATGTGCCATGTTGGTGTGCTGCATCCATTAACTCGTCGTTTACATTAGGTATATCTACTAATGCTATTCCTCCCCACTCCCCGCACCCCACAACAGGCCCCGGTGTGTGATGTTCCCCATCCTGTGTTCAAGCGATCTCATTGTTCACTTCTCACCTATGAGTGAGAACATGTGGTGTTCAGTTTTCTATCCTTGCAATAGTTTGCTTAGAATGAGCATTTACAGCTTCATCCATGTCCCTACAAAGGACATGAACTCATCCTTTTTTATGGCTGCATAGTATTCCATGGTGTGTATGTGCCACATTTTCTTAATCCAGTCTGTCATTGATGGGCATTTGGGTTGGTTCTAAGTCTTTGCTATTGTGAATAGTACCTCAACAAACATACGTGTGCATGTGTCTTTATAGCAGCATGATTTATAATCCTTTGGATATATACCCAGTAATGGGATTGTTGCGTCAAGTGGTATTTCTAGTTCTAGATCCTTGAAGAATCACCACACTGTCTTCCACAATGGTTAAACTAGTTTACAGTCCCACCAGCAGTGTAAAAGTGTTCCTATTTCTCCACATCCTCTCCAGCACCTGTTGTTTCCTGACTTTAATGATCGCCATTCTAACTGGTGTGAGAGGGTATCTCATTGTGGTTTTGATTTTCATTTTTCTGATGGCCAGTGATGATGAACATTTTTTCATGTGTCTTTTGGCTACATAAATGTGTTCTTTTGAGAAGTGTCCATTCATATCCTTCGCCCACTTTTCGATGGGGTTGTTTGATTTTTTCTTGTAAATTTGTTCTTTGTAGGTTCTGGATATTGGCCCTTTGTCAGATGCGTAGATTGTAAAAATTTTCTCCCATTCTGTAGGTTGCCTGTTCACTCTGATGGTAGTTTCTTTTGCTGTAGAGAAGCTCTTTAGTTTAATTAGATCTCATTTGTCAATTTTGGCTTTTGTTGCCATTGCTTTTGGTGTTTTAGTCATGAAGTCCTTGCCCATGCCTATGACCTGAATGGTATTGCCTAGGTGTTCTTCTAGGGTTTTTATGGTTTTAGGTGTAACATTTAAGTCTTTAATCCATCTTGAATTAATTTTTGTATAAGGTGTAAGGAAGGGATCCAGTTTCAGCTTTCTACATATGGCTAGCCAGTTTACCCAGCACCATTTATTAAATAGGGAATCCTTTCCCAATTTCTTGTTTTTGTCAGGCTTATCAAAGATCAGATGGTTGTAGATGTGTGGTATTATTTCTGAGGGCTCTGTTCTGTTCCATTTGTCTATATCTCTGTTTTGGTACCAACCATGCTGTTTTGGTTACTGTAGCCTTGTAGTATAGTTTGAAGTCAGGTAGCATGATGCCTCCAGCTTTGTTCTTTTGGCTTAGGATTGTCTTGGCTATGTGGGCTCTTTTTGGTTCCATATGAACTTTAAAGTAGTTTTTTCCAATTCTGTGAAGAAAGTCATTGGTAGCTTGATGGTGATGGCATTGAATCTATAAATTACCTTGGGCAGTATGGCCATTTTCATGATTTTTCAGGAATCATTTTCATGATTCTTCCTATCCATGAGCATGGAATGTTTTTTCATTTGTTTGTGTCCTCTTTTATTTCATTGAGCAGTGGTTTGTAGTCCTCCTTGAAGAGGTCCTTCACATCCCTTGTAAGTTGGATTCCTAGGTATTTT